GTGCGAAAATTAAGCACTTAAAAAAAGAGAAAACTCACCTCAGTGAATTTGAGGTGAGAACAATTTTATGCACGAGTTCAACTCAGTTACATAAAAAAAAATATTTCGATAGTTTTTTTCGAAAACTTGAGTACAATGGTCGTACTTCGCTCTGGGTTTTTTTCTGAGTGTAAGAATTCGTTCTTATTTGGACAGACTTTAATATTCCGTCGATATCGAAACACTGCTCGTCACTAATGTTTGGTATCGGAATATAGATTTTTTTCTTTATATGTAGACGCTGGGTGTTGCGTTTAAATCGCTAATGTAGTAATACCAGCTTAATTTCTCGTTCAACACTGCTGTGGCAACGCGTGGAGTTTCTGTATATTTTTCGAGTACACTGTCACTATTGATATAGTGAGAACGAAATTCTCGAATCTTTCTGTCGCCACTGTTGTGGGACTGGAAAGGTATTACGGTTTTCGACGTGAATGCGTTTCTCGAATTCTTCGTCGACACAGATGTGGAACTGGCAAGGTATTTAGATTTCGCCGTGAGTGCGTTTCTAGAATCGTCGTCGCCACTGATGTGGGGCCAAAGTTGGGACCACAGAAGTAAAACACGGAACACGGATTAGATGTAAGAATGGTATATTAACAACAGGTTACAGAGATAGTGTAAGCGGAGCTTACTATATGTTAGTGTCCAATACTGGTAGTCGTACGCGACTCTCACTGTCTATCTAGAGTGTTGTGTCGCATATTTAATATAGACCTGGAAGAGTCTATTGTGTAGGTAGTTTCGGTCTCACAATAGGACCTCATTAATAAAAACAAACAAACCAACACTTAATAATATTAACTTTGAACATGGGCATACTATCTTGACCGTGTTTTGAAAAATGAAAACATTTCTTATTTTAAAAGTTAAAATCCTTGAAAATGGCTAAATGTATATCCGAAAGCGCTCGGATATAAAAAGAACACTCATTCTATATAATTTATCATCCAAAAAGAAAAAAAATCATTAGATCGCATGAGAAATTGTATAAAAAACTAAATACAAGCAACTTGTTTGTCGTCTTCAATGAAATGTGCATGAAAGAAGGATTGCTGCCTAAAGACACACACACACAGACACACACAGACATATATATATATATATATATATATATATATATATATATATATATATATATATATATATATATATATTTATGTATATATATAATGTTGCATTATATATAAGTAGTTCTACTGTTATCCTAACGGTTATCTTTCGAATTATCATAGAGACTATTAAGTAGGAATATTTGTGGATAAAATGCGTTTTTTTTTTTAGCAGGCATATATATATATATATATATATATATATATATATATATATATATTACAATAAATCATTCATACAAAAAGTAAATTAGTAAAGTTAATGATATAAAATGGAGAACTCCCTTCGCATTAACCTAGTAATTATTCGATGAATGTTAGGATCCTTTTTTTTTAATTTATAAGCTGTATACGGTCTTTCTTAAATACGCAAGCACTTTCGATTGTATATTCAGTCATCTTCCGTCATGGAAATTATTTTGTTTTTGGTCAAATTTAGGCAGCATACTAGAGGAAAAAAATATAATACGAATCGAAATATGTTTTTTTGAAATGTGATAACGGATACAAACTTTTGGCACCTGGAACTTGAATAGTCTACTCCAGCGAGCGAAATAAAGGGTTCAGTTCAACATTCCAACCACCTGAAGAAGGCCGGAACGTACAACAGCCGAAACGTTGTGATAAATATGGCAACAATAATGAGGTCAATAGTCCGAACAATGTAAATAGTTTACATAATGTATCCTACTGTATTTTCCCCTGCCACGACATCAGAGGCAGTTACTTGTGGTATTGCATTAAAAATTGAAACTTCCTTTCAAAGATCTGTATATTTTGTCGTGTTACATATAGATATGCAGCAATGATGACTGATATATAAGTATTAAGGAAACAAATATGGACGCTTATGGAGACCAAACGCTGGATGAAATTAGTGTGTGCATAATGCAACTAAGCAAAGATATTTGATAAAAACAGACAGATATCAATTACCGAAATAAACTGAGCCTTGATCACCTAATCGGCGCGAATCGTTGGAATTACCAGGATGAATTTTGGTTTCAATTCATTGAAAACGATATTGATAAAATGTGTATCAGGTCTGTTCTGCGGGTGCTCTTACGGAATAGAAAAAGAAAAAAACACATAATGCAAATCGATTAAGGCGTACTGAATGCTAAAATGTTCAGGATTGTAATATATTTGGTAAGAAGACGTCTTTTCATCGCTAGGAGCCGGATTAAAAAAGAAGACTGTCCATGGAAGACATTCCATTGATTAGCGATATGAATTCCTTATCGAAGATAAACGTGAAGCTGTATCTATCAGCAAGCTAAACTGTCTTTTAGGAGAGGAAAGGTGTATTCCTCTTGAATTTACAGAATTTGGGAGAAACTAATATCTTTGACAATTACATCCCGGTGCTGATTAAACTAAATGTCTGTGTTTACAGATTTAGGGCAAAGAAGAAGACAATGTTTCCTTTGCAACAAGCCAAAGCCACTTGCCACTTCAGTTGGGAGAACCATAGATCACTTTGAAAATTTAGGCCTACCATATTCATCGTATTGTCCGCATCTACACTATACCAACTTTCATCTGTTCACTGATGATTCATTTTGCTAATATTAATCCAAAACATCGCCCAAAAGACACTGAATGCAAGGGTTTACTTAATAATATGTTAAATGAATAATGATTTACCCTAAAGATGGCAAGATTCTATTGTTTTGGAAATCATCAACATTAATGCTAGTCGACCCGCTGTTGTATTCTGGTAAAATTGCATGACTTTTCTTTTACCAACTCTATTTCTACTCATATTTATGACTCCGTCAGGCTATAAACTTTTCAACCGACCATCGTATATATCATTTAGTGGATTTTATTAATAATCCAAAATTATTTCTAAATACTTTAAACAGTATATTTCTTGAATACACATATATGACTAGACATCCCTTTTTTCAAGGAGTGTAAATTTACGTCTGCCGGCCTGTGGATTCAAGTGTCTTAGTAAACAAAATGTTTTCTACGGCAAGGTTCGAACCAGAGTCGACTTTGTAAAGGAATCCATCATTCAGCCGCAAACATCTTACAGTAAAATTAATTATCCTATTTAAATCATGAGCATCACTTTTTCGATCCATCTAAGGCCATATCTGATAAATTTCGTATCCGATAAGTAAAGACTGTGATTTCCTTGTAGTTAATGCATTTTATTCATAATCCTATACCATTTCCTATTATTTCAAACCATATATTTAGCTGATACGCTATTTTGAATAGAACTCCTTGTTTTTATAAACAGCGTATATGGTCTTCTACGCAAATGTTAGGCGATGTGATCAAGATTCGCCAATGAATAAAACGCCTTGACAACAAAGATTACATTTGGAAAGAAACATTATGGGGTAAATTAAAATTATATTTGGAACTTTGGTCTATGGTATTTTCTTACCCACCAGCTTATAGAGAGAGAATCATGGAGAAATATGGATATAAACATCGTTGACATGAAAATCAACGCAGCATGATGACTAGGATTTTTACGCCTTAAACGATAATCAGAGAGGTGTGTAATCTTTTTTTTGTTCCTTCTTTATCAATTGTTATTATTTCATATTTTATAAATCATTTGTTTTATATTTTTGTGGCTTTAAGTAGGAATTTGTTTACTTGTAAAATTCCTACTACGCTACCGAAAATAATTACTAAACTAACTACAGCTACAGCATGAGTCGAAAGATTAAATAACTATTAACCCATGACGTAAAATATTTCAAGACAAATACCAAAATGGAAAGCTGAATAAAGGATAAAAATAACTGTTAAAAGCCTAAATAAAATAAGAAATAATTAAAATACTGTTATGTTGAGGAGAGGGGATTTTGTTGTTTGTTCTTCACGTGTGAGTTCGAATCTTCGTCGCCGTTTGTTATGGTTCAGGTCCTTGTACCACGGTGATGGTCCAAGGTAGAACCAATAAAGAAGAACTCGAATACGGATATTGAATATATCTATATTACAAACAGGAATATATACAGAGAAGTAGAAAGTGTTAGTACGAACAATCAGGTTCAGTAGGGAGAACAATGTAGTCTCGACCAGTATCACTATTCCAATGTCTAGTAATTGTCTGAACGCGACTCTGTTTCGGACTGCCTCTGACTCGACTCTTGACTCGCTCGCTCTGACTGACTCTGACAGACTCCTGACGGACTTCTGACGGACATCACTCCAGACTTCAGACTGAACAGTATTTAGTCCCCCCCACGAGGGCATCATGTGGCACAAGGCCGGTTTAACGTGGGATCTCCGAGCCCGTGGGCTCGGCCCAAAATATGCCCTTTGAACCCGTATAAGCGTTTTCAGGGTCGGTTTACCTCTCCGAAAGAGACTCCGCCCTTCAGTGTAGCCTCGTTCAGGTTCCTCCACGCCTGAAGGCAGAGAGTTCAACATCAGCATGTCAGCCGGTCACCCGACTTCGGACAAAACTCCCTGCTTCCTCTTGATGCGCAGTATTTATTACGTATGGAATAGTCCATTATGTTATTATGGGTAAGGTCCCATAACAAATACCATATATTATTAAATAAGTATTAGAATGTCCATAAATAAAAACAAAATACAAAATGTGATTGATTCGTTTTACGGCTTATCAACCCCTTGCAGATTAATTAAAACTAGAAAATATTTTAGATTTCAAATTTTTTGCGATAATAATGCTTTAGTGATACATGTCTTAGTAATTAACCCATAGCTGGAGAGAGTAGAGGTGGATTCATATCTTTCCCGAGGATATCTGTGCTTAAGTGAATATAACGAACTCAACTAGAACGGAAACCCGGATGTCTGATTAACAGTTCCGAGCCATTATCCGTTACACAAACCGCGCATGCATGCTTACAGTAATTGGTATTCCCAAGCTGTCACCCATCTAGGTACTAACTAGGCTCAAGTTTGCTTAACTTCGGTGATCGTACAGGAACCGGTATTTCAACATGTACCCTTAAGTACATAATTAATATAGGTATTTATTATAGGTATATATTAATATTTGTAATTATTTATGTGTGATTGTTTTCGGAGTTTAAATTTTAAAGTATCTACAGTCTGTATAATATACAGGATGCAATGGATAAATTGTCGTCTATATTACGCAAAAATGAAAATAACAGTGACATCTTATTTAAACAGATGTATGTTTACCAAACTTAAACAAGAATATCTTGAAATATAAAGAGTACATTTATTCAATAAAATTGCTATTGGCTCTAGACGACTCAAGAATCTCTTGTATTTCTTTTGGACGGTCTCGTTTAAGTTTGTGAATGATGCCATATACCTTGCATTCAGTTCATGTTTCTTTCTTTTTGTTGGTCTCTTGCTTAACTGCGCCCCACACATAATAATCAAGGGTGCTGCAGTCTGGGGAGTTAGGTGGATAGATGTAAGGTGTGTTGTGGTCACAGAAATTGTCTGACAGCCAGGACTGGTTTTTCCTGCTTGTGTGTCATGGCGCAGAGTGTAGAGCCTTCCAGCAGCCACCCTCTTGACCCAGGTCAGGACTAACTCCTCAAGACATTTGATGTAGATATAACGTCACCATAACTACTCCACACCAAACACCATGATGTTGACTTGATATATCATACAACTGCTCCCGAGTCCTTTGCGCTGTTCTTTGATTGACATCCCAAACACTCTGAATGTTTGCTATTGGAGCTTCCGGTGTGAATGTCAAGTAGTACTGCACGCCGTTTCCAAATTTTTGGAGGAGTGAATTGCCAATGGCAATTTTATTGAATAAATGTATTCTTTAATATTTCAAAATATTTTTGTGTAAGTTTGGTAAATATATATGTGATTATGACACTCTTTTTCTCACAGATGGTGCCCAACTGACCATACTATACTATGCAGTCGACAAAATTAAAAACATACAATGCGCATGCGTGAAATTAAAAATATAATGCGGCGACAATTTACCCATTGCACCCTGTAATACAGTGTAAAAAGCGTAAAAAAATCTTTTTTCACTGTTTAACACTTGATAAAAACAAAAGGCATTCTTACTTTTAATTCAAGGGAGGTAATTCTTTATTTATTTAGATATATTGATTGAACTATTGAGTGATCGAATTGTTTCTTTGCGGCTATCAACATTTTGTTGGATATTTAATGTCGATATATTTTGGATTTTCAGAATAACAATGATTATTACAGTTCTAACTGCTTTTAGAATAATAACGATATTTTCAAAAATATGTCGTAATATTTAATCCATAGTAGGTGGATAGATTTATATTTTTCCCAAGGGTATTTGCATGTAAGCGAATATAACATACCTGACTATCTGATTTCTCATTCTGAGCCGCTATTTGCTTGAAAACCCGTGAATCAGACACATCTAGATAAAGACCTAAAATCTTTAAAATTTCAGATTCATGAATTCAGTATTGCAATAAATTTGAAAAAAAATTACTCTTAGCAATAAATGGCTTTTGAATGACAGCAAAAGGTAACTATTTAAACGGGAAATTCTTTGATAATAACGAAAATTACAAATTTGTAGATTTTTGATATTTTGTTTATATAAATATCAAATTATTCTGCCTCAAGAGATTGATATTGTTGAAGGTCAGACTCTTATTAATGTGAGTAACGAGGAAGTTTTAAGTAAATGAAAACAAAATGGACGCCCTTTTATAGACTCAGAAAGAATCAGTTGAAAATTTTGGGCCAAATAGCGAGGAAAGGAGGATTAGAGATTTTAACACTCATAGGACATATTGACGGCAAGAGGTTAAAACCGAGTAATTATCTAACGAGATTTTGTAAATGGACAGCAGAATAGAGATTGGAATATTAAAAAGACAAAACTTCTTTTCTTTTTAAGTGCCATGTCCTTTCAGACGATCATGGATGTCCACCTCCCTCTATCCCTTGCAGCTCTCAACAAGTTCCTTCCCTCTGCTTCCTCCCCCAGACCACGTTCTGTCATCCACCTGCTCAAGCTCGCCAGGAATGTCACGCCATGATTTCACTTGTCTCTCCCTCTATTCGACACGTAAATATAAGATTCTCCAGGCCCCCACCCCTATTCCGTAGACAAAACATATTAGGAGCTATAAAGGATAAGAAGTAGTGGAGAGCCATCATCTATCATGTCCTGACATTGCGCAAAACGAAAAGGAAGAATGCTGAATAAATTCATAAACAATTGCATGATGGAAATTCAGAGGAATGGTCCCATTTGTAGCTTAGATATATTTCCCACTGGAGACAATTTTAGTTGTCTGATTACAAATAAAGGGGCTGTGTTTAAAAAACTGAGTTTAATGTCAGGGAAACCTGTTTGCATTTGAAGGGAAATCAAATGAAAATGTGTCACTCATCTGGAATTGTGTTTTAAAAATCAACACTTTTTAAATACTGTTGTCCACACAAAATGCAGGCCCAAGTACCACCCTAGGCAGAGGGCTCATAAATTAGGTTGTTTTAATAATCAGCACTTTTTAAATACTATTGTCTATACGAAATGGAGGCCCAAGAACCACTCTAGGCAGAGCGCTCCTGAATAAGGTTGTTTTAATAATCAGCACTTTTTAAATACTATTGTGAACACAAAATGTGGCCCAAGAACCACTCTAATCGAAGGGCTCCTGAATGAGTATGTTCTAATATTCAACACGTTTTAAAATACTATTGTCACGCAAAATGGAGGCCCAAGAAACACTCTAGGCAGAGAGCTCCTGAATCAGGTTGTTTTAGTAATCAACACTTTTAAAATACAATTACCCACACAAAATGGAGGCCGAAGAATCACTCTAGGCATAGGGCTCCTAAATTAGTTTGTTTTAATAATCAACGCTTTTTAAATAGTATTTCCACACAAAGTGAAGGCCCAAGAACCACTTCAGGCAGAAGGCTCCTGGATTAGTCTGTTTTAATAATCAACACTTTTTAAATACTGTTTTCCAAGCAAAATGGATGTCCAAGAACCACTCTAGGCAGAGGACTCCTGAATCAGGTTGTTTTAATAATCAACACTTTTTAAATATTATTACCAACACAAAATGGAGGCCCAAGAAACATTATAGTCAAAGGGCTCTTGAATCAGGTTGTTTTAATAGTCAACACTTTTTAAAATACTATTCCCACACAAAATGGAGGCCGAAGAACCACTTTAGGCAGAGGGCTCATAAATTAGGTTGTTTTAATAATCAACATTTTTTAAATATTATTGTCTATACGAAATGAAGGCCCAAGAACCACTCTAGGCAGAGGGCTCCTGAGGGCTCCTGAAGTAGATTTAAGAGTCATAAGTAAGAAGTAAATATGATGAAAATATGTAGGATAGATAGCAATTGGCCAGAGACTTGAAGAGGTAATTATCGTTATGAAGTATCCAGGATGGAGTATCTATTTACTGTGAAAACGGAAAGGAGGAATTTGGGAAAGATGGAAGTAGAAAGGAGGTAAGGTTCGAAGGAATGAATGAAGGGAGAGAAGGAGCAAAAATGGGAAAGAGATATATATATATATAAGGAAGGAAGGAATGTGGGAAAGTGAAAAAGAAGGAGAAAGACAGAAATAATGAAGAGAAAAGAATGAATGAATTTGCGAGAGACAAACAAAATTTTCTTTGTAAGAATGGGAGGAGAATTATTCATAATCCGCAAGGTTTCGTAAATGTTTTTGAACTTTCTACTCTTGATTGCCTAGAATGTAAGAATTGGACAGTTCCTGTTTAGATATGATAGCATTACTCCATTTTATCTCTGATTTGACTATAAACATAAAGCGACAAAAGATGTTAGAACGACTCAGTTAATTTCTGGGGTGATGTAAATAATCAACTATTTTTCCAGTATTTTTAGTGATGGATCGTATATATCTGTTCTACTTGGGGTTTAGACTGAGATTGAGTCCCAACAGATGTTTAAGGCAAAGAATACCATTTGTAGTACGTCATGACTGAAGAAAATTCAGCATCTACTCGGTGACGCTAAAACGTTACGTAACTAATGTTACAAGCATTTCCCCTCATTGAATTTTGAGAGCCTGGTCAGAGAATAGATTGACTGGCAGGCTCTGGTCATCTAGATTTTGTGAGATGCCGCCTAAACCGTCGTTCTGTCTGCATATATACTGACTAATGATTTAAGAAGGTTCTTCGACTGAGTAAAAGAAGGAAGGAAATTTTTTTTTAAAATAGAGGCGATTGAAAAAAAAAATCTAAAAAAAGAAAGGAATGCATGACTAAAAAATCACCTGAAAAGGCAAAATTGGTGAAAAGGTCAAAGAGTAAAGGAAAATAGTAAAAAAACAAAAAACAAAAAAAAACAAAAGAACGTAATTAGTGATTTAAAGAAAAATATGAGTTAGAATAAAAAAAAATCTAAACAAAATGAAAGAAAGAGAGAGAGAAAGAAAGAAGTTGATTGAGTAAGAATGAATGAATGAGGAAAGGAAGGAAGGAAGGAAGGAAGGAAGGAAGGAAGGAAGGAAGGAAGGAAGGAAGGGAAGTTGTGAGGGGGATGTGATAATAAAGGAAGGAAAGCATGGAGGAAGGCAGGAAAGAAGGAAGTTGGGGAGGGTGGAAGTGAAAGAGGCAATAAGAAAATTAGAAATAAAAGAAGGAAGAAAGGAAGGAAGTGAAGGAGTGAGGAGGTAAGGAAGATTGAAAGAAAAGAAAGAAGGAATTGAGGGAAGAATTGAAGAAGAGAGGTAGTAATGGCGTCGGAAAGGAAGGAAGGAAGGAAGGAAGGAAGGAAGGAAGGAAGGAAGGAAGGAAGGAAGGAAGGAACTGACGAAGGAAGGGATGGAGGGAGTTGGGGGATGATGTTGAAAAGAAAAGAAGGGAGGAAAGTAGTGAGAGAGGAAAGTTGTATGAGGTTGGAACGAAAAGAAGGAAGGGAAGGGGGAAGGAATGGAAGAAGTGAGTGAGGGAGAGGGTAATGAAGTTGTAAAAAAGGAAAGAAGGAAGGTAGGAAGGAAGGAAGGTAGGAAGGAAGGAAGGTAGGAAGGAAGGACGGAAGGAAGGAAGGAGAAAATAATGAAGGTGGAAAGAAAAGAAGGAAGGAAGGAAGCGAGGGAAGTGGTGATGAAAATGGAACAAAAAAAAAAGGAAAGAAGCAAAAGAAAGAATTGAGGGAGGAAGGTGGAAATGAAGTTGGAAAAATGTAGAAAGAAAGGAAGGAAGAAAATGAGTGATTGAGTAAGTGAGCGAGTGAGGTCGGAATAAATTTAGAAAGAAAAGAAGGAAGGATGGAAAGAAGGAAGGAAGGAAAGTAGGGAGGATGGAAGTGAGGGAAGAAGTGAGTGATGTGGGTGATAATGAAGTTGGAAAAAAAGAGGAAGGAAGGATAGATGGAAGAAAGTGAGTGAGGGATGCCGTAATAAAGTTAGAAAGAAAAGAAGTAAGGAAGGAGAAAGTAGTGATGTTAGAATGAAAAGAAAAAAGCAAAGAAGGAAGTGAGGGAGGAAGGAGGTAATGAAGTTGGAAAGAAGAAGAAAAGAAGAAGTGAGATGAGGGGTGGAAATGAGGGAGGGAGGTAGTAATTAATTTGGAAAGAAGGAACGAAATGAGTGAGGAAGAAAAGGAAGGAGGTGGTAATGAAATTGGAAAGAAAGGAAGGGAGGAAGGAAGGGAGTTAGAAAGTGATGTATAGATGTGGTAATGAAGTTGGAAAGAAAAGAAGGAAGGAAGTAAAGAAGTGAGGGAGTGAGGTGGGAATGAATTTGGAAAGGAACGAAGGAAGAAAGAAAGGAAGGAAGGAAGGAAGTGAGGGAGGAAATGAGTGAAGTCGGTGGTACTGAAGTTGGAAAGAAAAGAAGGAAGGAAGGATATTAAGTACGATGAAGGGAGAAGGAAGGAAAGTTTCAAGGAAGAAAGAAAAAAGGTAAAGAGAAAAAATGGAAAACAAAGCAGGAGAAGGAAGGAAGGAAGGAAGGAAGGAAGGAAGGAAGGAAGGATTGTAGAAAGGAGAAAATACCGAGTAAGAATATAAATGAAGAATGGAAAGATGCAGGCGGGAATAAATGAAGAATAGAAAGATGGAAAGGATAAATAAATAAAGGATAGATGTTAGGAAGTGGGGAATGAATTTGGGAAAAGGTGAAATAAAGAATAAATGAAATAGCGAGAATGAAGGAGGGAGTATGCAAAAGAGGAAAAGAAAATAGAAAGGATATGTGCAGCATGAAAGTAAAGTAGGGGGAAAGATGGAAAACAAGAGAGGAAAGAATAGTGAAGTAATGTCGGACGGAGTGAAGAAAAAACGGAGGGCATGAAGGAAGTAACAAATGATTAATGAATGAATGAAAAAACAAATGAAAGCGAAAATAATATACAGTGTAACCCGGATATAAGAGAGTTGTCGGGACCGGATAAGAAGTCTCTTATATCCGGGTTTGGGCTATTTTATATACATTAACACAGGCTCTAATTTGGGAGCAGAAAAAATCTCTCTTATATCCGGGTTTCTCTTATATCCGGGTTACACTGTATAAGAAAATACATAGATACAAATATATGTGTAAAAGGGAGTAATAGGAAAGCCAAGGGATATATCTTATTAGAAAATGTCAAAACTGAGAGGAGAATGAAAACAGAACATGACAAAGAGAGAGAGAGAGAGAGAGAGAGAGAGAGAGAGAGAGAGAGAGAGAGAGAGAGAGAAAAGAAAAGAAAGAAAGAAAAAAAAAAAAAAAACTTCGCAGGGTGCATTGGAAACTGCAGGATACAGTGTGTAAATTTTAATCTTATCCTGTTTAAGTAAGATTTGATTGTGAGGAAATAATTGCTTTTCAAAATAGAAGCAAAATTATATCAATGAAAATATACAACAAACGAGATGCAGAAATTTTTGGATGTTATTTGAAAAAAAAAAAAAAAAAAAGGAAAGAAAGTGAAACCAAAAAGAGAAAAGAAAAAAAAACGCCGGAAATGTTATACGCAAGAAAGCGAGCGTGAATCGAATGGACAAAAGTTCGGATGTTAAAAGACTTGCGGATAGATTTTCTTTGAATACAGAATGGTTAATTCCGTCATGGCACCATTGTCTAGCTTCCCTCATGTGACATTTTCCCAATTCTGTTCTTTGTTTCACGATATTCCCTGACAGAAATATCAGTAGAAAAAGAAAGTGAGATAGAAGCAATAAAATAAAAGAATAAAAAATGGAGCAACAGAATATATCGGAATTGTATATATATATATATATATATATATATATATATATATATATATATATATATATATATATATATATATATATGTGTGTGCAGAGTGTGTGTACGTGTGTGTTGATAAATATAAACAAACTGAGATAGCTAGCTACCTAGCTAGCTAGCTAGATAGATAAATATAAACAGACTGAGATAACTAGCTAGCTAGATAGAAAGAGACTGGGATAGATAGATAGATAGATAGATAGATAGATAGATAGATAGATAGATAGATAGATAGATAGATAGATAGGAAGACACTGACACAGATTCGTAAATTCTAGGAAACATTATGCAAGATAACAATTCTGTGGAAGAGAGAAAGTAAATAAAAGACTTCTTCAGAAATCTAGAAAGAAAGAAAGCAGTAAGAAAAGAAAGATGACAGAAAAAGGAAGATGAAAGAAAAGAAAGAAGAGTTGACAAAAACTGAAAAGTGAAAAACAAAATAAACATTTAACGCAAAAAACAATATATGAAAATATAAATAATATGAAAGTAAGGACGAAAAAATTAAAGGGGTCACTGTTTTTATTTCTCTTCACACACACACAAACACACACACACACACACACACACACACACATATATATATATATATATATATATATATTGCAAAAAATATAAAATGAAAAAGATGATTAAACTGCTATAAAAGTGAATGTTATTATATATATATATATATATATATATATATATATATATATATATATATATATATATATATATATAAAATGTTCCCATAACTTGGACCTATTTTAAATATGAATTAAGTTTAAGCGCCTAATGATTTTTTTTTCTTTTTCTTTCAGATTTAACAACTTCAGTTTTTAGCAATTTCAGCATTGTAAAGTTTAACAAACAACGTGTTAAAGTTTCAAGAGTGCAATTGGAAAAATGTTCGTAAATTCAAACAAACTGGGTCGGTGGCAGATGTGAAAACACCATTGCGTGCTCTTTTACGCCGTTCAGCTGAAAATATTGCTGCAGTGCACGAGAATGTGGCCAAAAATACAGACATTTCTATTCGTCATCGCGCGCAGGAATTGAACCTCTCCACAACAACGTTACATCGTTTCCAATTGCACTCTCGGTTGGTCGATTTTGTTGACCCAAAAATCGCGAGGTGCGCGAAATGAATTTCTGTTTGAACATCTATATTTGTAATAAGCTTCGATAACTTTAACACGTTGTTTGATTTTTAATCTTTCCATGGTTGAAATTGCCAAAGACTTAAGTTGTTAAATCTGAAAGAAAAAGAAAAAAAAATATCATTAGAAGCTTGAACTTAGTTCACATTGAAAATAGGTCCAAGTTATTGGAATAAGCTTTATATCTACAATGATATATATATATATATTATCTAAAATTCAGATAAGCTCTACATTGTACTGTGTTAATTACCTTCAGCTCTACATTGTATTTTATTGTCCAATTTTTACTGCGTATTTTGTAAAAGTTGGATTTTCCCAACAACCGTGAAATTTTGACGTGTATATCTTCTTCAACTATTTATTATTATTATTATTATTATTATTATTATTATTATTATTATTATTATTATTATTATTATTATTGTGTGTGTGTTTGCGTGCGTGTGTGTTTGTTTGCTTGTGCGCGTATCTCTTTAAATGGACAGGGAGAAGTCAAAACAAAACCCTACCGAAATTGATATTTATAGGCCGATAAACAGCATTTTACATGCTAATAACGTGTTAGATGTGCAGATACGTGAAATGTTATTGACGTTCAAAGTGAAATTGTCGTACCGAGTTCAAATCCTGATCGGCTAAGGTTAAAACATGCTTAAAGCACCGGTTATCATTCGATCACCGAAGTTAAGCAGAGTCGAGACCAGTCAATATTTATATTAGGGATTGCTTGGGAGCAATTGGTAGTTAGCAACTTCCTATAATCCGATATATGTTTCCGCGATAAATCACTCGCAATGGGTTGATAATGCCATAAAAACAAACTATCCATCTATTACATCCTGATTGGGTCCGTTTCCTTCCGTTTGTACTAATATACCTGAAGAAATTTAAAACCCTTCATTCTCCAGCGATGGTGTAAATGTATGTATATATATATATATATATATATATATATATATATATATATATTACTCCCGTAAATAAGACAAACTAGGCACTTTAAACTAGGTATTGAGAGTTTAGAATAACACTGATTTCAAAACCAAATAACCATCGGTTAGGATATCTTTGTCCAAGACACTGTATTGTTATGCGTTGCCCGCAGATGACGTACAGGTTTTGTAATTATGATTATGATTTTGTACATGGTCCCATTGCCACTACTATAACTGAACGACAACCTTAGTTGAAAATTCTGCTGCCTGAGTATATCTAATAAAGATTTAAAGCAGAAAAATGGCATTAAGTATTGATGAGAATAGGAGAAGAAAGAACGGATTAAAAATAATAATTAGTACGCATATCGAACCGAACCCTTTATCTTGTCTACTGGGGAGAGTAGTGTTAAAAGGGAGATAACTGAGACTGGGATATCCGGAAGAGGCATGGCACATGGAAGTAGAACAATCTATCACGGTGAACGAAATAAAAGGTTCGGATCGAAATTCCAATCACTTGAAGAAAGCCTGAGTATACAATAGTCGAAACGTAGTGAATATGACAACAAAAATGAGGACAACAGTAGGATCAATAGAAATTGTGTAAATAGTAAGAACAAATTCAGAAAAAAAAACAACTTCTATTTAATAGATCTAATTTTGCGGGTAAGAATTTTGAAATTTGGTGTATTTTTATATGAATGTTAGAATCCACTGTTTCCATACGAACGCCGTGCAAGTCACTCTACCATGATCAACGGAGTGCCGTTGCTTTCTCGTGATAACGACGCATATGTTTATTGGCGTCCAGCTAACTCCGGATGAAGCGTGAATCAGCTACACGCAGGCCACCAGTCTGCCATTGGGAAGCAGGCCACTAGCGTTTACTGCCGGTGTAGGACCGCCGCCGTATAACTCCCGACAATGTTCCCACTGGCAGACCGCTAGAGCCCCGGTTTACCGGTGGCCTGCTGGTGGCTGCCACCAGATGACCATTGACGTTGCCAACGGCAACCCGCCAGCGGGTCACTAGTAGCTTGCGTGTAGATCTTCCATTGATACCAAGTCCAGTTCCGACGCTCGCCTGCCCATTGAAAACGCCTGTAACAACGGATATAAGTTAAGATGTCTATTATGACTGGTCCACAGGTAATCGGCTCCATATACCACAAATTCTGACGTAGACGACTTTACTTAATACAACTACATTAAATTCATCAGCAGTTTGCTCAAGAGTTTTGACTTTGCAGGAATAATTAATTTCAGGCAGTTATAAAACTAGTTACTCTAGTTAGTGATGGTATGATGACTAGAAATTTTCCCTTCGATAAAATGCACCCACAATCACAGAAGTTGAACACCACACAGGCCATTAAATTTTGAAAACTATCTGACTTAAAAAAAAGTTTAAATATTTTCAAAGTAATTGACATATTTCTATTTGCAAATTACGCAAGCATTCAACACAACAAATTAAATTCGGGAAAATATTTTCTGCATAAATACACTACGACAAGTGTATTTGCTTGGAAACATAGCTGCGGTTTTGTTGTCTTGGTTCATCTATATATATATATATATATATATATATATATATATATATATATATATATATATATATATAATGATATGTAAATTTACATTGAGCACTATTTTGTAAAAATATCAATAAGAACACCAGATTACATATCTTACTGTTCATTCTTTTTATTTAAATGTACATATATATATATATATATATATATATATATATATATATATATATATATATACATACACACACACACACACACACACACACACACACTTTTTCCGACATTCTGTGTCCATACGTTCCGAGCGATTTCGGCTATTCTACTAACCATTAATATTTTATGTATTTAAATGCGCACAAACATACACACATACTCACATACATACATACATGAAATCATTCAAACGCTCACACAGATATATATATATATATATATATATATATATATATATATATATATATATATATATATATATATATATATATATATATAAAATTTCATCGGCACACTCATATACGCTCAACTTTCTACTTTTTATCCCACTAACAACTTTTAGGAAAGAAACAGACACTACCAGACAGAACAGACACAAAAGTACCAACTAGAAAACACACACACACACACACGCACTAACATTAATACCAGTGGATATAAACAAGTGATATCTTCCTGACAAATGAAAACCAAACAGGATAAAATGTGCCGCAAGAATACATTACTCCAAATTTCTGGTAAAGCTTAAATAAATGCGAAACATGATGAAATTATAAAAATATTCCTATTTGAAACTTGTTCTATCACACACAGACACACACACACACATATTTACATATATATATATATATATATATATATATATATATATATATATAT